GAGCCGTTTTAGGTAGGCGTGGCTGACCCTTAAATTTTATAAAGAATATCTCTTTGGATTTGAGACTTTAGTCTTTGCAACTTTACAGATCTTCTTTATGCACCAAGAGCTTGTAACACTCCAAAGAGAAAAGAAAAATTTAAAATCACATCATATGACCCCCTTTAAGATTGCTTGTAGAAAAACAAATACAATAAAACCAAACAAAAATTAAAAACAAATATTTTGATAAATGACAGGGCAAAGGAAAATAGCAAAATGGCTAAGTGGTGCACAATAAAGGACTAAAGCATAGAACAGCCTAAAAATTTGGTATCATGAAGTCTGTGGCTTTAATGGGAAGAAAATAGTCTAAGTCAGGAAAAACAAAAGTGGTCACCATATTTTCTTCACAGTTGTGGTTTAAATAAGTGAATTTGCTTCTCAAAAAAAAATTTTTTTTTTAAGATTTTGTCCATCAGGAATTGATTGAATTATTATTGTTTGCTCATTTCTGCAATCTAATGTGAGTGACAGGTTGCTGGAGGGATTGTTGTCAAATCCTTGGGATGGTGCATAAATAAAGTTATTTTGATTAAAGATTATATATAAAAAATAAATCAATAAAAACCAGAAGCAGCCCACTGTAATGACACACTGTACTAGCTCAGGATGAACATATACTACAATGGATCACCTAACAGGTGTGATACTTATACCTTAGCAGGTGTGAGAACCGAGACAACAATGCCAGAGTCGTGGATGCATTTAAGACCTTTCATCAAGTCAATGGCAAACTCTCACACTACTTCATCAGACAGGCATTCATCTTGAGCGATCAGTGCTGCCAGGGATCCACCTATAATACTAATACTTCTATAATTTACCAATTGATTTAGACTACTATAATAACCCTGGATCTCACCTGTGCTCATCTCCACCACCAGCCACAGATGGTTGCTGGTCTCATACCATTCATAAAAAGACACCACACTGTCCTGCTTAACGTCATGAGCAAGTCTCACCTGTGGAGATACTGTGACAGTTATCAAACATAGGAGTACTGTGTAAGGTAAACACTTTCAAGTGCATGCAAAACATTGCTCAAAACAAACAGCTTAACAATTGTGCTTGTACACACATGCTTTGTGAGTTCGGGTCTCTTGGATTTGTCACTGCAGATGATTGCCTTTCCTTCTGCCCTTATCCACCACCGATCTGCTAGTACCTCTGCCGATCTCTTCAGACAAAATCAAGTTCTCCATCTACGCAGTGATGGAAAGCATGAGCATTAAAGCCAAAACAAACATCTAAAACACATGGCAGTTTTGAAATGTAGTTTTCAGATGCAAAAACACACCTGAGACTCACGTGAGATTGAGAGCTCGAGCTCACTGGCAGTTTATAGTGCCAACGTTAACTACTAACACAGGGGTGCCCAAACTCGGTCCTGGAGGGTCGGTGTCCTGCAGAGTTTAGCTTCAGCTTGCTTCAACACACCTGCCTGGAAGTTTCTAGTATGCCTATAAGAGCTTGATTAGCTGCTTCAGGTGTGTTTAATTAGGGTTGGAGCTAACTCTGCAGGACACCGGCCCTCCAGGACCGAGTTTGGGCACTCCTGTACTAACACAACTTCCTGACCATAGGGACCCCAAAACGGTTCAATATTACAGACACGGATCGATTAAAACAATATTTTAAACATTTAAACAATCTATTGGGCTTAAATACTGGGGTAATTGTCTTTTGCATAAGTTTTCCTTTCGCGCGGTAGACAACTGACAAACGGACACAACCTTAGAAGCGAAACCAACTCGCATGAGGGGAAGCCATACATTCATGCGATTTGAATGACAATTGTAGAACAGAAATGCATTTTTACATAAAATATATTTTGAAATGGTAAATATGTAAAAAATATTAAATATTCACATGCCATTTTCATATTCATTTCAGTATTCATACACCCCTACTATCCCTCGTTGCTAGGATACAGAAGAGGACGCATTGTTGCGTTTAGGAAACAGGATCATCTGAGCATGCGCACCCGGAGCACCAGCCATTGGTTGAATACCAAAATCGTCTCCTGTTACATGCACCTGTTTCTTTATTTCTAATGTTTGCATTATTGCTAAAGTTTTTTATTAATTAGATTCTGTAACCATATATATGAATTCGTTTTGTAGTATGACAGGATATTATGAAAGTTAATGTGTTTAGTATTTTGTGTTGTATTTTGCCGCCAATATTTAGTATTGTCGTTGTTTTTTCTGTCACTGCGTGTATGCAGAACCGATCATATCAATAAACTAACCTATTTTTAAAGTTGTGAAAGAGTTGCAAAAGCAACAGTGAGGATGGGGAGTGGCGTTACGCTCATAGAGAGAGAGAGAGAGAGAGAGAGAGAGAGAGAGAGAGCAGTTTAATGTCTGGAGCGGAGATCGTGTAGCGGATGAGATTCTGAACGTCCTTAGTGTTTAGTATTTTGTGTTGTATTTTGCCGCCAATATTTAGTATTGTCGTTGTTTTTTCTGTCACTGCGTGTATGCAGAACCGATCATATCAATAAACTAACCTATTTTTAAAGTTGTGAAAGAGTTGCAAAAGCAACAGTGAGGATGGGGAGTGGCGTTACGCTCATAGAGAGAGAGAGAGAGAGAGAGAGAGAGAGAGAGAGAGAGAGAGAGAGAGAGAGAGCAGTTTAATGTCTGGGGCGGAGATCGTGTAGCGGATGAGATTCTGGGCATCATAACGTCCTTAGCATTGGAAAGAGTTCATCTTCTACAGTATTCGTCCTTCTTTCGCCCAGAGCTTCGCTGAGTTGAATTACAGATGCTCAGATCTCCTAAAGAACAGAAATACCAAACCGGACAGGATCGCTGTGCTACTTTTCATACAGCAGGTCTTTTGAAAGGAAGCCGGGGATCACTGGCTTTGTTTTCGGGTAATTACGAAATAATGTCAACTACGTCGTAAAAAGTGTATCTGTTAAGTAGCCTACCGAATAATTTGGTTCAAAACTAGCTGGTTTAGAAAAAGCAGGATTGTCTTCAACGACTTTTCAAGTAAACCTGCATCTGATCTGGACTGTTTACTTCGGCTTAAAGGACAACCTTCATTTTATGGTAAGATATCATGCATCCATATATCCTACACACACACACATCGCCTTTTGATAAATATGTTTAGCCATTGCAAATGACCAACATTGTCCAATAGACTACACCTCATGGCTGTGTCCTAAAATGTAGTGAGCTGCCTAGCTAGCCAGCTGACCGGAACTTGCCAAACGTGCTGCACTGTTTATGAAGCCAGCTCATTTAGGTTTTTTGACTCATCCTTAACTTTAGATGTTGCTTTGCTGGTCCAGGGCCAGCCTGGTTTGTTAGCTTGTTTCTGAGGGACTTTTAGGGCACCCTTCAGCTGACAGGGAAGAAGAGAAAAGAAACACTGTATTGTAGGCTGCCTTATTTGTCCTCTCAGTGAAGAAACATTGATCCTATTACTTGACTTCAAGCCAAACTACAAACTTAAGCAAGCACCTTTTAAGAAGCTCATGCTACAACCCAAGCAGAGTATAGAATCCGATTACATGAATCGAATTGCTTTAATACTTTTTAAGATTGGATTTCATTCATGTTACAGCAACCCATGGTGAATCTGTGACCTTATTTGACCTTTCGAGTAAATGGTGTGACAAGAAGCAATACTTGTCCTCCATTTGTCTATAAATTCTGAGTCCAGATTTGCTTTTGAGATTATATTGAGCCTCGTCAGATGGAAAACATGCACTTCTAAAAACTAAAATTAGTTTTTCTAGGTAGTGTAGTGAAGAAAATGACAGTGATACCCTATACAAGCAGATGGAATAAAGTTCATGACCCCTTCATCCTACTATTTAGGGTTTTGATATCACACAAGTCATGTGCCCATCAAGAGGACAGTGTTACTGCCCATGCAAAAATAAACATGATGAAATGTAAGACGTGAAACACTATTTTACATATCCCAATGGACTCCTATAAGTATATTACCATAAATATTTCCAAAAGTACTGTTCAATAACATGCTGCTTAAAGGTTTATTTGCAAGTCGGTGATCCAAAACCAGCTGGTGCCATATTATAGGAATTCCACTGATTTATAATGTTAACAGCTGAATGTGTAGTAAATAATTGACAATCAAGTTACTTTCACAGCTGACTGTATCCCAAAGTTCTGCTGATCTCAGATCAGATTTAATCTATGTTGTCATGCATGTACTAAACTTCAGAATATCATTGCTTATGCTCTGCTCCTATACACTGTGTTGTATTGAGGATCATGTAGAAACCTGAAGTGAAACTGAAGTGATCATGTAGAAACCTGAAGTGCATGATTTCTAATCCTATCACAGATTACATTCTTGCCTAATTTCTTTTTATTGCATCATATGCCCAAATATAAGAATAAGAATGAAAATTCATAGTCAGACAGCTGGGTCTTCCCTAGAGACCAAGAAAGCATCTGTAGAGAGACATATGAGTGCACGCTGTCCTCCAGGGTTATTTGCTTCTGCATGTGTGGTTTGCTTTCATGAGCACGTGTGCTTGACTTCATGCTGTAACAGCCGAGATAGTGTGTTACGCTCAGTCATGTCAAGATCTCTTTCGCTCACAATAATTACGTCTTCCTGGGTAGTGGTGTGTCAACTCAACTTGATTGATCTTTCTATACCTTTTCTGTATTTCTGGTGTGGGAATGCTTTCTTTGCTCTTGTCTCTTCTGACTTAGTGTTATTTATTTATTTATGTATTTATTTTACTTATGATGTTATTAAAGTAAGTACTTTTGAGTGACGCGTACGTTTGCAGTGCACCAATATTCAAATTCTAGTGATTCATCATAGGCCAATAAATACTTTGTTTTGACCAATAACAAATAAATGATAAATATTACAATTTTGTGCTCTTTGGTATAAATCTATTTACAAATTAGACACAGTCAAATTAAATGCTACAAGTGAATTTAGTCATCACAACAATGTGAAAAAATGATATTCATTTTGAAGTTTGCTAAAGGTTGCATTTTGTTTTTAAATACTGACTTTAATTGAGCATTAAATGTTGGCAAAAGGTGATCTAAATGTAAAAAAATAGGGTAAATGCAAATCCAATATTTGCTGATAACTGATAAATAAAAAATATAATATCGTCTGATATGTATCTCAATATATCATATGTAAATGACATTATTATCCATGGCATGCATTAAAGTACCATGTTACCGCAACAGTATTGTTTGTAAGGGTTGTTTATTCATTTTTACCCATTTGTTTGTCCATTTGCAGACACATCAAATACATCAAGTAAATGCGTTTTCGATTTCTTGTCTATGATTCCCGTATTAAAAGACATTTTAGAATTATCCATAACCTATTTGGTAGACAGACATCTACGTTTTTTATAATGAGCTGCTTTTTAATAATATAAGCAATGTAAGTGATAACATAGGTAATGCCCCTGTCTGCTCAGACAGCATTGAGAGGTGAAAGGACACAGCCTTTAAATGTACTCAATTGATTTTTTCTTAAAGAGTTTATCTGGATGCTCATTGTTTTTCTTGATTGCAGTCTCATGAAGGGCACATGTTATCTCTAAAAAAACCTCTGCTCTTTCTCATAGTGAATCTTAATCTAGAGGGAATTGAGCTTCCTGAGTCACTCAGTGTGCACTTAGACAGACCTCCTCCACTATCTGTTGTATCTGCCATCTGTGTTGACAGCACACTTTATATTTGTTAGATTTGTGGCTTTTCAAACATCACATCATGCTGGGGTCTGTTTTAGATTTCAGTATCACATTTGTCTGATGGTAGTTATCATACAAATTGTATACATCCTCATTCCTCACACTCATGCACCAGACCTCGGTTTGATGGAATTTGTGCTTTATCAAAGCAGCTAGCTAATGCATAAACAAGGCCATGGCAACGTGGCAAAAATACAGTCATGTGCTAATAGAGCTTACTTCCTGTTCCTG